TGTTATGATTGAGGTGAGTTTGTCTCTGTGGTAGTAGATGATGTGCTATGGAATTATTCTCTGCTATGAATTCAAGTCAAATAGGAATTCTCTGAGGAGTCGAGTCATTTTTCTGTGAAATTGAAACCTAAACATATATAGAAATAGTTTTCAGAGATATGGTGAAGTTGGTATTAATACCGTTTCTTGGGAGAAGGGAAAACTTCCTCACCAGAGACTTCTCTTAGAATTTCAGAAAAACTGTATAAGTTAAAAGTGAGTACTTATGGTTCTGAGAATTGACCGGTAAATGTAGACTATCTTATCAGACACAGTTTAGCTTATTCTCTGTTCTTTTTTTGAACTCTGTGTGTGTGTCATTATTTTTTTTTTTTTGTCTTACTTCAAGCACTTGGAGAGTGAAAAAGACGGAGTCATCAGCTGCCTGGATTTGATCTTAAAATGGCTTACCCTGCGGTTCTTTGATACCAATACAAGTGTTTTGATGAAAACACTTGAATACCTTAAATTGCTTTTCAATATGCTGAGTCAAGAAGAGTATCACCTCACTGAAAATGAAGCATCCTCTTTCATTCCGTATCTTATCCTAAAGGTACAATTTATTTTACACAAACTAACCTTATTTTTCATGAGGAATATAGCAGGATACCATCAAATACTGCAATATGTTCATTCTAAATATATTGTGAATAGAGTTAAATCCAGTTGGCTGATGGTCATGAGTGGTGTTCCCCAGGGCTCAGAGTTGGGGCAGTCCTGTTTAATATCTTCATCAGTGATTGGGCAGGAGTGTTAATCTGCTGGAGGGTCAGAAGGCTCTACAGAGGGATCTGTACAAGCTGGATAGATGGGCCGAGGCCAGTTGTATGAGACACAACAGGCCTAGTTTTTTAGCCTGGAGAAAAGGAGGCTCAGGGCATATTAGTGCTCTGTATAACTACCTAAAAGGAGGTTGTAGTGGGGTGGGTGTTGTCTCTTTCTTGCTAAATAGCAAGTGAATGAGAGAAAACAGTGTCAAGTTGTGCCAGGAGGTGGTTATGTTGGATATTAGGGAAAACTTTTTCAACAAACAGCTGGTCAAGCATTGGAACAGGCTGTCCAGGGAAGTGGTTGAGCTTCCATCACTGGAGGTATTTAAAAGATATGTAGATATGGCACTTAGAAGCCTGCATATTTCCCTTTAAAAGACATTGACCAGAAAGGAATTTTGCCTTGAGAATAATTCTGGCTTGCCTGACATTATTTAGAATAGTGAAATAGTGTCATGAGACTGTTTAAAATATCCTATATTTCTTCCCCTCTTTTTCTTTTATTAATTTTCCATTAGGTAGGAGAACCGAAAGATGTCATTCGCAAAGATGTACGTGCCATTCTGAACAGGATGTGTCTCATCTATCCAGCCAGCAAGATGTTCCCTTTCATCATGGAGGGGACAAAATCCAAAAACTCAAAACAACGTGCAGGTGCGAAATGGCGGGTTGAACTGGGCTTACACAGAGTACTTGAAATTGCTTTGGTTTGTGTCTTGAAAAACCCAGCATAAGAGTGTTGGGTGGGATGTGAGATTTGTCTGCATGTGGCATTTTATGCAGTTGTTCGTAAGTGTTTAAAGGATCAGATTTTAAAGTCTCATATTGCTTTTTATTTTGGTGCCTTTGTACCTTCCAGAGATGGGCAGTCTGTCATTGCTATCAGTATTAAGATTGTGTCTCCCTTGAGTAGGCTTGTTTTCTTAGTGAAACAGTGCTGGGGAGAAGGGGGACAATGCTCTTGTCCTGGTCACCAAGAGAATCAGTTAATCTGATCAACAAATGTCTCTACATTGCACATTTGTCTCAAGACAAGTAAGGTCTGTAATAAAAGTGCTTGAACTACAAACAGCTCCCTAGTCGCCTTGAAAATATCTTATCCTGGTATAACACGGAAATTAAATTCTCTACATAATATAGCATTGCAAGCTCACAACTGTCTAAACTATCCAGATGTGAAGTTAACTGTAACATTGCTCATATAAGGTAACAGGAAGTATTTGAAGGGTATAGGGCTGACTGACAGCTTTTACATACTCTATCTGTGTGAAGTAGTCTGAACCTGTAGTTTACTTTTATTCATCAATATTTATTATTTATTCATCCTGTAAATCACCTGAAGTGTGTCTGTCATCAGCTTTGTGATTGACAGTTGTCTACAGTGAATGTTCATATTGTCCAAGCAACACAGAAACTGGGAGTGCTCTCTTTCTAGCAGCTTTCAAGTTGAATATGTGTATGTTATTTTGGTTTTTTAGAATGCTTGGAAGAGCTTGGATGCCTGGTTGAATCATATGGCATGAATGTATGCCAGCCAACTCCAGGGAAAGCCTTAAAAGAAATGGCGACTCATATTGGTGATAGGGACAACACCGTGCGCAATGCTGCACTGAACACCATTGTGACTGTCTATAACGTTCATGGTGATCAAGTGTTCAAGCTGATTGGAAATGTGAGTATAACTGGAGATAAGATTATGGGGGGTTGGGTTTTAGGTGGTAGGTTTTGTTTGGTTTGGTTTTGGGGTTTTTTGTTTGGTTTGTGGGATTGTTTGGGGGTTTTTTGTTCCTTACTCTTTCATAGAGGATTAGCACTGTTTTGCTTGTGATTGGTCATCTTGCTATTGGCGTCAAGAGCATTTTGTAGTTTTGAAAATAATTATCGTAAGATCTGTGGTGCTGTAAATTATTTGGTTAATCCCAGATTGTGGAATATATGAAATCATAGAATGGTTTGAGAAGGGACCTTAAGGATCCTTTAGGTCCAACCCTGCTGCCATGGCGAAGCCACCTTCCACTAGACCAGGTTCCTCAGAGCCCCATCCAACCTGGTCTTAAACACTTCCAGGGATGGCATATCCTGTTCCAGTGCCTCAGCCACCCTTACAGTCAAGAATTTCTAATCCAGTCTAAACCTACCCTCTTTCATTTTAAAGTAATTACTCCTTGTCTTATCACTACGTGCTCCGTTTAGAAATCCTCTCCAGCTTTCTTATAGGCCCCTTCTAGGTGCTGGAAGGCTGCTATGATGTCTCCCAAGAGCCTTCTCTTCAGCATCCTGAACAACCCCCAGCTCTCAACCTGTCTTCATAAGAGAGGTGTATATAACCTGGGTGTGCATGAATAAAAACAAAAGCTGGAAGAAACAAGAAAAACACTGACTTTCATGGGAATTAAATTGTTTATAAAGAATAACTTGAATGGATATTTTATGGAATATGACGAGCAGGGAAGGAAGGCTGCCCCTTTTTGGTTTTTTTTTTTTTGCCTTTGCAACTTCTTGAAAAGTTGAAGTTTAATGTGACTTTTGTTTTCTCCGGTGACCATTTCCATGAGAATTAACGTTGCATTTTCATTAACATTTTAGAATGCAATCATATTTCAACTACTGTTCAGAGTGCAATCTGTCTCCTCCTTAGCTTTGCGTAGTCCATTTGCTTTTGGATTTTCAAGGTTAAGAAAAGAACTGTAGCACCTGAACTCTTCAGCCCTTTCTAACTATGACTTTCTGAGCTTCAGTATGTCACAACTAAAATGTATGGGTTCTCAGGAAGGCTTCCAAATTATAGGGATGTTGTAGAGTAGTTCTCACAAAATTGCCATGCTTACTTGTGTTCAAATGTAATTATTAGTTATCTTTGGTCCAGTGGGTAAGCAGGTATATATGAATCTTTTCACTGCTTGAGTTGGAGTTTAAAGTTCGATCTTGTGTTGGGATTGAATGATTAGTACATTGAACAGGACAACAGTAAGAAGGACTCTGGCTTCTGTGGCAGGGACCAGAGTGTTAAAGCACTGCCTCATCTCCTAATAGGGAATATAGAAAAGGTGGATGGCGGCTTTTTGTTGGAGTTTTTTGCAGCAACACATGCAACAATTGGAAACACTTGATAGTACCATACTTTGAATTCGAGATGAATTGTTTCTTGAAAATTATGTGGACTAGAAATAACTGTATTTGGTATTACATCTTGTCAATATAGGTTAATTAGCTTTTGAAGTAACATCTGGCAGTCCAAAGTGGCCCTGTTAGTTTGCTGGTAGGTGATAGCATTGACAGTTCCTGCCTTGGTGATAGGGAACTCCAGTCTGCAGTAGTAAGTGATATGCATCCTGTAGGTGACCTAGATTTCTAAAATCCATACAACTCGAGTTGAGTGAAAGTATTGTGTGTTACAGCTTTCTGAGAAAGACATGAGCATGCTGGAGGAAAGAATAAAACGGTCAGCCAAGAGACCCTCTGCGGCTCCTGTGAGACAGGCAGAGGAGAAACCTCAACGTACTCAAAACATCAGTGCTAACTCTGGCATGATGCGGAAGGGGCCAGCTGAGGACATGTCCTCCAAGCTCAAGTATGTAATGATACGTTGTGGTCTCTACCCTGCATAGTGTATGTGCTAATATCATGTCTGGCAATGTCATTTTAGTTCTCATATCATCATCTTTGCATGTTGTGAAAATTGGCCATATAATATAAATCAAAATGTCTGAAACTTTTTTTTGTCTTGTCTGTCTTGAAATCTTTCTAAATGGTCTTGTGCCTCTTTTCACTGCTTCTCCATGGACAGAATTATGTATCGCACTTATAGGATGTAAGTACTGCCCACTAACTCCTTGGTAGCAAGGCTCTTGTATCTTTAGTTTCTATCCCAGTCATCCCTTCTTGAGGGTGACGAGTTTGCCATGGCTAGTTCTAGGTTATTTACAGGTCTCTGACATAAGGAAAAGAAACGAGAAATACAGGTTTCTGTCAAGGTGACCATAGATCAAGCTGCAGGCAGACTTGGCACTTCCACATTAAGCAGCTGTTCAAAATATTGGGAGTACTTCCAATGTATTACATTAAACTTTGTATTGGTTGGACCCCGTTCTTAACTTGTTATGTAAAACATAAAGCACAGAACAGGATAAGCATGTGTGAATCATAGAGCCTGGGGCAACAGTACCAGAAACAAAAAGCTCAGAAACTGTATTGCTTGTTGCCTGCTCATTATTTCTGAGTAAAAATCTGTATTGAGAACTATGTATTAGAATATTTCCTTAAAAATCCAATATGCAGCACAAGTTATGTGGGATGCTGGGAGTCTTAAGTTCAAAGGAGCTTGCAAGGTTGCTGTGTACATATGCATCCTGTCCGTCATTAAAAAAAGTGAGAGGAGAAAGAAGCCACACTAACTTCAAAGCTATGTTCCATTTATACTCCTGTAAACTCTACTAGTTATCTCAAACCATTGCATACCTGTCACAGGTGCAGGGGGTCTTGTGGGTTACAAGAGGAAGTCAAAAGCAAGTGACTAGCAGCTGCTCTTCTGGCCCACAAAAGTTTGTTTTACTCATGGCTTAGGGGAAAGGCAGAGGGAGTTATTAAGGGGCTTAAATATAATCAGAACTCCAAAATCTGTGCTGTTCTGAGAGCTTTAGGCCTACCAGTGGATGCTAGTGCTAGTACTCTTGCCTCTTATGTATGTGTAATAAACACCTCTCTCCTGGTTTCTATAGCCAAAATCGCAACATGGGCAGTCACTCTGAGACAACACACACTGTTCCACGGGAATTTCAGCTGGATCTTGATGAAATTGAAAATGACAACGGAACTGTCAGATGTGAGATGCCAGCACTTGTGCAGCACAAACTAGATGACATTTTTGAGCCAGTCTTGATTCCTGAGCCCAAGTGAGTTTAAACTCCTAAGTGAAACCAGCAGGGCTGCTTAAAAACTATTTTGTGAAGCTGAATTGGCTAGTTTCTACGTTCAGACTTGTTTACATAAGAGGGTAGTGTCAGCTAATTTGAAGAGATGTCAAAACGAAGGTCCCTTGCACTGTTCTGAAATCTGGAGAGCAGTTATTTTTAATGAAAAACCTGAGTTCTACTTACGTATTTTTATAGTAAAAGAATTCTGAGTTTGTAAATGCATCATCAGTGTCCTTACAAGTAGTGCTATAGATGAGTTAAAAATAGTGATTCCTTCCTTGACTATCCTCAGTGAAGAATGAAATCGTTTTCCCTTGTCTCTAAATCTTGATTGAAATGTAGCAGTTAAGTGTGAATTAAAGTAGCTCTCCAAAATGTAATGAGTTCTCTTTTCAACTGTTTAGAATTCGTGCTGTGTCCCCACACTTTGATGACATGCACAGTAACACAGCTTCTACTATCAACTTTGTCATTTCCCAAGTAGCCAGTGGTGATATAAATACAAGCATTCAGGCTCTGACCCAGGTAAGTGAATTAAGGTAGCAACTGATCATTGCAACTAATCACATTGTATTAAACTATTTGTCTGCGAGGGTGATGAGTTGCACTGTGGTGGAGCAATCATGTCAGGTGACATGGACTCTGCTCAGAATCTCCCTGATGACAAAACGAAGTGCACAGGGGCCATCTGACTCGCTTTAGCAATAGAAATTCCACTTGGAAGAGGTAGAATAGACTTAACACTTTTTTCATTAGTGATTCTGTGTTATCGTTTTGGTTTTGTATTATGAGTTATTGTATTATTTGTACTATGAGTTTGAAAAAACCAGTTGTCAGTGAGACTTAATTTTTTGTGTAAACTGGTTTATAGATCCTCTGCAAAAGGATTGTCTTGCCTCAGTTTTTATGTGGTTTTAGGGTGGCTTTAACTACTTCAGAGTTTTCATAATACTTAAAAGATTTCATAAAGCTGTTAATTCCAGAATTTTTAATGGAGTGTTTTCATTTGTGTACAGGATAGGATTGCAGTTCTCTAAAAGATTAATAATTGGTTGTATTGGGATTAGCAATACAGGTCAGTGGCTACTAATTTCAGGTGAAAGCTTAGAATACAAGTGCCTTGGCAAATCAATTGGTCAAGGCAAGGCCCTTCCTACAGAAAAGTTTTTAAGTCATTGTTATTTTGCACTGTTTGCATCATGTTGACTTTACTAGTGTTTTGTTTTTAAATCTTAGATTGATGAGGTGCTCAAACAGGAGGACAAAGCAGAAGCTATGTCTGGCCACATTGACCAATTCCTAATAGCTACCTTTATGCAGCTTCGGCTAATCTACAACACGCACATGGCAGATGAGAAGCTGGACAAAGATGAGATAGTCAGACTTTACAGCTGTATTATTGGGAGCATGATCACGGTAAGGCTTTGATGTAAAATGTGAGGTGAAGAGCAAATAACTTCTGTGCAGAAATTGCAGGAGAATGGAATGTCTGTCCTGTACCTAGGTTAGATTACTACTGAGTCTCTTTTATGAAGGTTTGTTGCTAACTGTCTGCTCATCAATGCACCTTTTGAGAGGGAGTGGGGAATGAGAAACTGGGGAAGAAGGTCTCTGCTTCTGCAGAATACAGCCACTGTAATACTTCTGTTAAGCTCTGTTTTTAATATTTCTTTTTGAGTGCTGAGTTGGTGGCCTAAGTATTTTCAGAAGATACTCAGTAGAAATAACTTTCTTCATAGTTGTGTTTTGACTGTTTAATGTTGTGGGAAACAGGGAGATGTCATGGTTAGACAAGGTAGTCTAGAGAACTCCCGGTATTAAAGGATCATGTACAGGGAAAACTAATACTGTCTTCAATCTGTAGCTATTTCAGATAGAGAGTCTGGCTCGAGAGGCCTCCACTGGTGTGCTTAAAGACCTAATGCATGGTCTTATTACATTAATGCTGGATTCTCGGGTTGAAGACCTTGAGGAGGGGGAGCAGGTCATCCGATCAGTCAACCTCTTGGTAGTGAAAGTTCTGGAGAAGTCTGACCAGACCAACATCTTGAGGTATATAATGAAAACTGCACAATTACTGCTTTTCTTTATCTGTTCTTGTGTGTTCCTTGAATGGCTGAGTTTGGTAGTCATTCTGTAAGCAAAGACAAATGTCTGTAGAATCATTCAGTTAGCTGATCAAGAATTGTCACTCATCATCAATGGTGATCAGAATTTGACTGCACAATCTGCACCACTGGAGGCAAGCTAAACAAACCAGCTTAGTATGCTTCTGTGTGCTTTATAGTTCAGCAGACTGCCTCTCAAATTCTTGTAAGTAGAAAGAAAGAAAGAAAGAGCTGTTCCACAACGGTGATGTAAACTGCTGGACTAACCACAGTCTCTGTGGTATTCTGGGGTGAGTTGGCATCTTTTTTCCTTTTGTATAGAATGTTTTCTGTTTAACCTCTGTAAATTTATTCCTTTTAGTGCTCTGCTTGTTTTGCTCCAAGACAGTCTTCTAGCAACAGCCAGCTCTCCTAAGTTTTCAGAACTTGTCATGAAGGTGAGCCTATAATAGAGATTTCGAATTTACTTGGATTATCTGAATCATGTTAGCTGAAATGACACATACAGTTAAAAAAAAAATTAGTGGCCATAACTTGAAATACTTCTTATAACTCTTATAACCTTATTAGATGTCACATATAAGGACTTCTTGTATGCCAGGAGGGAGCTTAACACCTGCTAATAGTTTACAGAAACTTGTGCACACTAATGCAAACTCCATACGAGCTGTAAAGTCACCTGCTGAGCTCGTTTGCTTGGGCACAGCACTGCACTATGGATTCAAAAGTCCCAGACTGGAGCTGACTTCTATTTTGTCATCTCTAATGACAGATAGAGTGAATGCGCAAATGTTTGCATTTAAAGCATGAGTGTGATTTTTTTTTTTTTTTAATCATACAACACCCTTTTGTAACTGGCATGATTTAAAGACAACTTAGGCATTCTTAATGAGGTTAAACCTAAAGCATGCTAAAATTTCTTCACACAAAGCATTCAGTCTCCTGCTGTAGATAGAGAAGTCAGCACCGCATTTATGCATCAGCTCTAAAGAAAGATCTGGATACTGTACAGCTAGTTACAAAGAGAAAGTATGTACCAGTGCAAATATAGCTTGAACAGACAGACACTGCGTGCCTGTAAATGGTAGCAGAGTGAAGTGACTCAGTGGTAATGTTGTGTAATCTCTCATTACATAATTGAATGCTTTTTCCTTGAGTTATCTTGCTTTAAGTCGGCCTCTCGTTCCAGTGTCTGTGGAGAATGGTGCGTCTTCTTCCGGAAACCATTAATAGCATAAATCTGGATCGGATTCTGCTGGATATCCACATTTTCATGAAGGTCTTTCCCAAAGAGAAGCTGAAGCAATGTAAGAGTGATTTTCCTATAAGGACATTGAAGACTCTGCTTCACACCCTGTGCAAGTTGAAAGGGCCCAAGGTCAGAGCAGTCACTAGTCATGTGCTTTTAAATTGAATGTTCATGCAGTGTCTAAAATTTTTCCTTATTTTTCTTTTTTTTTTATTCTCCTTTTTTCTTGTTTTAGATCTTAGATCATTTAACAATGATAGACAACAAAAATGAGTCTGAGCTGGAAGCTCACCTTTGTAGAGTAATGAAGCACTCCATGGATCAGAGTGGAAAAGCTGATAAGGATACAGAAAAAGGAGCTTCTCGCATAGTAAGTAAAGAAAATGTGTTGGTAGGGAAAAGGAGTGTAAGGCAATTAAAGAAACAAGTTTGATTTTATGTTTGTGGAATGTGCAGTAATGATTGCCTTTTTGACATGCAACTAATGTTGGAAATACTCTTCTAATTTCCCTTTCATTTATGGCTGTTTTGGGAACTTGCTGTGTGTGTTTATGTGAGTATTCTGTGCATAACCCAGGATGAAGTGCTCTCCAGAACATTCAAGTGAGCAGCATAGGTTTATTGCTGCCTGATACTGGATCTGATCTACTAGAAGTTAACCATACCCAAACCAAGTTGTAAACACTACCTTCTCAGAAGAAGTGCTCCAGCTTGATGATATCCCTCCTCTCATTCTGTGTAAACAGTGGCTATGTAGAACCCTGATCACTTGAAGATTTTCTTCATCTTGGAAGCTCTATATCCATCTAGCAGATCTGAGGGTGGTGTGGGTTTGTCTGACTTCCATCTGGTTTTATTCACTTTGTTTTAAATCTCCTTTTGTTTATTTATTTAGGAGGAAAAGGCTTCAAAAGCCAAGGTTAATGATATTTTGGCAGAAATATTTAAGAAGATTGGCTCAAAGGAGAACACCAAGGAGGTGAGTGCTCCCTTCCTGCACGAAAGAGGGCATGATACATTGGAATGGTGTATACAGCACTTGTAGTAATACCTAGGAACTCTTCCTTCCCAGGGTCTAGCAGAGCTATATGAATATAAAAAGAAATATTCTGATGCAGACATTGAGCCCTTCCTGAAAAACTCCTCTCAGTTCTTCCAGAGCTATGTGGAAAGAGGCCTCCGATTGATAGAAACAGAACGTGAGGGGAAAGGACGCATTGCTCCTTCTACAGGTACATGTTATAGCAAAACTGATTCGTTTATGAGAAGCAGAGATAAGAGATCAGTTACATGTTTCCTGGTAGAAACTAATATTTGTAGATGTTTATGGATTTCCAAAGCAAGCCTGGTGCTTGTGTTGCTTCATGAGGCACCATTTGCAGGAATTATGCATTCTTGTTTACAAAAAAAAAGTTATAACCACACTAAATGTAGAAAACATCTGAAAGGCTTGGTAAATAGGTGGTTCTAATATGTATCCTGTAGTGTGGGTTGAACATTAGCCTATGTTTCCATGTGTCTGGTATCAAAAATCGGTTCTGCAAGATATATAGCTGGTTTATAACCCTAAATCTTCGTTTGCGAAGCCTAGCCATGATGAACAGCAGCAGCAGTCAGGTTTTCCATTTACCTTTTTACCAAAAAGGTGCAGGAGGCTTTTTACGGTATTACTTACTATGGAATTGGAAAGCTTATTTTAAATAACTTGAACTATTCCTCTAGCAGAATTTATGATGATCCCTTTCCAATAAACTAGCTTTTTAATTGGATAAATTACTGTAAAAGTTTGTTAGTGAGTCTTTTCATTGCAGATAAATACAAATGAGTATTTATTGCAATATTAGGGAGGGAATGTGACAAATCGTTAGCTGAGAGTAAAAACTGATACACAGTCTATCAAAACTTCCTTTAACTTTCATTTCTTTCACATTTCATTGTGTCCCGTCAGACTTTGTCCTTTTTTCTACTATTGTTCCTTCTCCTATTCCTGTATTGTAGATTACTTTAGGAAGATAATGAGATTCTTTCAGAACCTCTTAAATGTGTTAAACTAGGTAGGACAGAAAATTCTACCTTTTCATCCTAAAAGTCCGTACAACTGAGAAATTAGTACAGCAGTTTTCAAAATGAAATTTACATCCACAATTGTCTTTTTTTCCCTCCCTAACTATAATTTTGTTATAATAAAGGATATTGTTCCATATTGCAACAGTGCTTTATTTAGAGTAAAATATAAGTAAGTGTATTAAAAGTATAAATGCTTAACCTTAATTCTCCTTTATCTAGTTTAAATGTCCTTGCAGTAAATTAGTGAAAACAAACCCTTGTCTGTGCTGTCTTAGAATTTGCAATTCATTTCATAATGGAAAAGCTTTCTTCATCATGTGAATTCATTTTCTAGTCTTCTGGTAGGGAAGCTTTAAAAACCTTGCTATGTGCCTTCCAGAAATAGCTCTTTGAGACTGAACTGGAAGAAAAAGCTTTAAGTTACACAAATGAAGTAAGAGGAGTTAGGATCAGTGGTAAACCCAAAAGTGATACTAAACTAGAAAAAGACAGAAGACTTCAAATATTTCCCATCCTGCCAATTGCTGAGTTCATTCTGTCAGATGTTGTGGTTTCTTACTGTTGATCCATATCAGCATCTTCCTCTCTCCCCAGTGTTGTCTTCAGCTGTCGACCTCAGCATTTCTGGAGCTGCTCTGCAGCCACTTCTTAAATTTCTCCATTTCTTTTCTTGGTTTTCAGTTGTCACTCTTGCAAGGAATTGGAAGTGCTGATACATCTATACTAGCAAATGCAAATAGCTTGGTAGTTTATAGATTGGTTAGTTCTTCATTCATTGCATCTTGTTTCAAGGAACTGACCAAGAGGCTTACTCTTTTTTGATGTTTTTAATTGGTTTTAACTTTTCTTTCTTCCTTCCCCTCATCCTCCAGGAATTTCTTCTCAGATGGAAGGAACATGTGTTCCTGTGTCTACCCACACTGTATCTTCCTCTATAGGAAACACAAATGGGGAGGAAGTGGGGCCTTCAGTTTATTTGGAAAGACTAAAAATCCTCAGGCAGCGTTGTGGCCTTGACAACGCAAAGGTATTGTACTTGACAACTCTTGTAAATCTCCAGGAAAGGAACTTGATTTGTACTTTTTTTTTTTAAAGAATTCAAATTGATTTCTCTGCCAAAGTCAGATTCTAATCAGAATTTATGATCTTTCATTATAGTGCATGTCCTAGTTACTCAATGCATGTCGCTGTGCCTAGTATAAATGGCTTTAAACGCATTACTTGGCCAAGTAGGCTTAAGTTTCAATCCACTCTGTCTGCAGTACTGGTGTGCATGCAGGTTGTTTCTACAGCCCTGTAGTTTGGTATCTTCACTTGCTGGGTAGTTGAGTCTCAGAAAGGTTCAAATAACTACTGTTCTCTAAAAACTAACATATATTGACCTCTGAGTTGAATGATGTGGAAATTCTAGATCTTTCTGCTGTGAAACAACCATAAGAGCTGAATTAATTTGGGGTGTATGAATACTGAAGCACAGAAATGCAGAATGAGCTTGGTATTGGAAACCTGTTGACCAAAATCTCTTACAGTGCAGTGATCTATGTGCTAGGAATCTAGTGCCAGTTACTGAAATTTGCACTGGGCCAGATGAGAAGTAATGTTCACTCTAGGAATAGTTATCAAGGTACATCACTGTTTTAACTTGCATATCAGCTCACAGCTCTGAGGAGGGGAAATATTTCCTAGATGATAGTAACAAGGTAAATAACTCTGATGGAAATATCAATCGGTAAAAGAACGGTGAATTGACATTTTAAGTCTTTGGCAGGGTCTATCTTGCCAATTAATTCAAGTTTCCTCTTCTCATTCCTCCAGAAAACTCATTGCCTGTTGATACTGCACATAGGCATGGACTTTGCACTTGTGGTGTTAGAATTCAGGCTGTTTAAGACTGGCAGTCTGTCTCAGTAAAACACTGGTCTGCAGTGGATTTTTTGATCTTTAAAGACTGTAGTTCCTTTGTGTCCCTACTGACATGAAGTTAAATATTAACTACTCAGATGATAAGAATTGAGTATTTTAGTTAGCTTTGCACCATTCTGACTTTATTGCTCCAGATTCACTTGTGTTGTAGTGGTCCTTCCGTTTCCTCTGTTTTCACTGTTTCCTGTGAAGATGAGAATCCATTGATTATGATTTGTACTTATATAGCATTTACCACTATATGTCTTAACACTTCACTTTCCCCCCCCGTAGCAGGAAGACAGACCCCCTCTGACGTCTCTGCTCTCTAAACCTACACTCCCTACAGTTGCATCCTCTACAGATATGCTTCACAGTAAGCTCTCCCAGCTCCGTGAGTCCCGGGAGCAGTACCAACATCTGGACCTGGACTGCAATCAGACTCATTCCTCTGGCATTGGAACTACTCTGGCTTCACCCTCTTCTGCAGCAGCCAATATTGATGACTTGAAAAAAAGATTGGAGAGAATAAAAAGCAGTCGCAAATAGAGAAGCAAGGCTGTTGCTTGGGGCTGTCTTCAGCTTTAGTTTACTAAACTAGAAGTCTTCATAGTTAAATGGCCTCGTTTAGGCCTAATGTATACAAACTGGTTTATGTATAATACAGTGGATTTTGGGGGGTTGAGTCATTGTGGCACAAGTATTTGTACATACTCTGCTTCTCAGTGAGCATCTCTTTGACAATAGAAGGCTGTCTGTGTATTAGTTTTAGTGTACAGACCTGTAAACAACCATCCTGCTCACACTAGTTTCTCATAACTTGGGGTTTTTATTTGTAAAATTGTCTTTAAGATTTTTTCCTAGTTCTTAACTCTTAGAAGATCTTTAGTGATTTCACTTTTAATTTTGTGAATTCTTCTCCATGTAATCCTTGAACTGTTGATTCTGTATGGACACATGGCATGAAGTAACTAATTTAAGTGTCTTTTGTAAATAAAGTTTGCATTAACTATACCAGCCTCTGTAGGAACAGCAGCAACTGCTGGTTATAGGTCACTCTATATTCCTGAATGTTAGTGACTGGGCATCTAGAAACTGAACTAAGCTATTCTTGACATGAACCTTGGGATTTGGATACATTATAAGGAAGATGAGTGGAAATATACTGTCTGTGGGTGCAGTCCTGAGACTTTGCACTCTTCTAAGAGCAGTAGTGCATTTTTATATAGTTCCTTTTTTATGTTTTGGAGTATGTTTCTGTAACTTGAGAATATTTAGTTTGCTGAAATGCTTATTTTAAATTATCTAGTCCTTGTGATGCCTTTTTAGCCAGATTAAGCGTAGACCCAGCTGAGGGAGCTTTCTTTGAGGGAGCCTGCTGCTGTTGGTATGGAATAGACTAGCAGTGATGTACAGTCAGTGGGCTCATTTATCCTGAACTCATTTGGTTAAGCAGTCTTCCTCTTGCAGGTAGACCTCACCACTACATTCTTTTTGCTCTTAAACATCTGATGTCAGCAAACTCTACTAGTCTGTGTAACTAAGACACCTAGTAGGGCTAGTCTGAAAAAGCTGTAGCCACTTTTTTTTTTTAAGAGTAATTAGCCTTTTTCAGAAGCTACAAATATGAAGATGAAGACAGACACACTGTGTATCCTTTCTAGCCCTTTTATTTCTAGGGAGGTGATGTATTTTGACCTTACTACTGCACTTCCATGTGAGAACTGGTTGTGAAGCATACATTGCACATCTGTTCTGTAGCTAGAACAGAGTTATTGAAGAGTTGGACAGGCAGGCTTAAAATAGCACACTTCTGCTCTATATTTTAATCTGTTCCATGTAACTGCTGCTTTTGTTGTTTGCTCTGTGCACCAGCAGTCTCTGCATTAGGCCATTACTGAAACTGCCTTGCCTGATTACAGTAAAAATGTGGCTTTAAATTAGTACTTGTACAACAGATCTATGCCAGAGCTTCTGCAAATGTCTGAAAACTTTCACAGGACCCCTAGGCTGGGGTTGCAATTGATGTATTGCTGCTTGGTGCTTATGATGAGTTTGCACACTGCAATAGCAAGTGACTTGCGAGCGTTCTCCATCCTGTGTTAATTGATATGATGTCATTCCTTGCTCCACCACCTTGATTTAGTAGTCTCAGTCCCCTCTCATAACCTGAAATGGGCATGCACTTTCTTGTGGAACAGAGCTCTGTTACAAGTGGAGGTTGGCCCTTATTGGTAAGTGCTGAGTTTTGTGCACTTGACCTGGGGCAGTTTTTGAACAGTTTGTGTTGGCTGGCACTAGTTACTGCCACTACCTCTCAATTACTAGCTGCTCTCTGAAACTTAGTGACATTTAAATTAATCCATATGTTCCTTTACCATATCCAGCAGACATTCTGAAGAACTATTTGTTAATTAGCTCAGGATGTTAAAACAGCGATGCCTGCAAACCTGTAAAAACTATTTTAAGTTTGAAGCTGAATTGGAAGTGAAATACAGGAAAATTGAGTAGCAGAAGATATAGTTTCTTTTTCTGAATGAGTTTTTGCCCTGTGTCTCTGTAGTGTTTGGTTGGACTCAATATCCTGGGAGTTCTGAACTAAAACTTGTGCACACAAATTAATAAAGCCTAATCTTTAGCCCAGACAATATTTAAATAACATTAAACTGACTTTTAAAAATTATTCCTCTGTATTGTTTGTAACAAGTCAATATGAACAGTGACTCATTCCAGAAACTCTGTGGTCCTGGTTCCCCTCTTAGATATGCAATTTGTCACAGATAATTAGATAGTAGTGAAAGGGTCAGCCTTTAAACATTAGAAAGGCTAAACATTTTCAGTGTCTTGTGCCTGTGGTTATCAATGACTTTAAACAGTTGTGGAACATGAGCTCTTGAGATTTCATTCCTCAGCTGTCATTAAGAGGTTGGGTTTTGTGCTTTATTAGGGCAATGAAATTGGGCTACTTCAAGTTGTTTCCCATGTGAACCATCTTAAAGGAGGTGGCCAGACACTAATATCAATAACTGTTTTTTAGAACAACTAATTTCACTGTTGCCAGTTGCCGTGCCTTAATGGCATTATGAGCAAGGAGTTCAGGAATGAGGTGCCATAGAGAGCAAGGAGAGTTTTCAAATCTCATGATTGCTTTAAGAGAAAATTGGGCTGAACAAGTTGGCTAGCCAAGAATGTGTTTACTGCTGTACTGCTGGGTCCTCAGCAGTCCACAAATTGCTGCTAAAGAGTTTATGAAAGAACTGACGCTTCTTTTGGGAGAGATCTCTAAACAGCCTCTATAAGACAAGCAAATAAGTATAGTGCAGGATGCTTCCCTTGGAGGCCCTTTGACATTGCATGAATTGGTTCCTTCTGAATCTTGCTATGCAGGTGGAAAATACACAATGAGGGCCCAGCAGGACCTGCTGTGTAGAAAGTTAGTGGAAGTGCTGCTTAACATATTGAAGCCCATATTCCTTTGCAGGGTGAATTGCACAGTGGTGCTGGTATTTGTTGCCTGCTATTGTAGCTGAGAACAATGTCTTTATGGCTTTTCTTTTAACACTGGTGTTTTGTGTAATGCCACAATTACCATCGGGTGCTTATCTCTGGTACATTTTTGGCTCAAAATCTAGAAAATGAGTTGTCTTGAAGGGAGAAAATGGACAGTGCATGAGGGCACAGTTGTGCTTGCTGTTACTGCCAAGGCCATCATCTCAGATCCAAAATCTGTTGCTTATAGCTGATGGAAGGGAGGAGAATTTGAAGCACAAAAGGTAATTAGCAATACAGCCAGTGCTATGTTACTCCTGGCTACTGTTATGGCTTAGATCCAAGTGCAACTAAACTCAGCATGAACAAAAGGAAGAGAATGGGTTTAAGAGCTTTTATTTTTGAAGGATAAGACTTTCCTTTGTCAAGTTGTAAGGATATAACTTTTACTTCAGGATCTTCTGTGCTTATGTTTTTAAGTGGAGCATTGTAGCAAGTCTGAGAGCAAGCAAGGTAAATGCTTCAACTATCGCCCATATTTTTCAATGGCTTTTCGCATCCACTTTTTCAGGCGGAATACGTGGGTGTAAAATCCATATTTGCCATCTCGGTCACATCCTTCTCCCCATGAAACTATTCCCACTTGATACCAACGGTTGTCGTCTGGGTTCTAAAGCAAATAAAAAAATGGGATTGACACAAGGAGCAAGAGACTTTGATAGAATCATGGAAACATTAAGGTTGGAAAAGACCTCCAAGATCAAGCCCAACCTTTGACCGAACACCACCCTACCAACTAAACCATAGCACTAAGTTCAAAGTCTGGTCATTTCTTGAACACTACCAGTGATGCTACCACTTGCATGGGCAGCCCTTTCCCATGCTTAAGCACCCTTTCAGTGAAGAAATTCCTCCTACTGTCCAACCTCAACCTCCCCTGGCACAGCTTGAGGCCATTTCCTCTTGTCCTGTTGGTAGTTCTCTGGGAGAAAAGGCCAACCCCCACCTTGTTACAACCTCCTTTCAGGTAGTTGTAGGGAGTGATAAGGTCACCCCGACCCTCCTTTTCTCCAGGCTAAATAACCCCCCCCCTTCCTCAGCTGCTCCTCATAGGACTTGTGCTCTAGATTTTCTAGCAGCTTTGTTGCCCTTTCAGATCTAAACCTTGTATGCACCCCAGCCTCTTTAATGAAGGATACTGCTTTGGGATTCAGACTGGCATCTCCAACAGAGCTTGTTGGAGTTGTTTTGTCTCTACTCTTAAACCTGTAAGTAAGAATTGGCCATCAGCCATGCATTCTGCAGCTGATCTCCATATATGCCGAGAGCTCAGTATAGAAGTGGGGCTGGCTGACTGCAGGATTCATCTCCAGGATTCAGCTTGGACATGAGCTGGGTTTGCTTCAGCCACTCAGCAGTCTCCACCTCTGCTACTGTCTTTTAGACTATTATGAAAGTTTAGCATAGCACAAACCAAGCTCTGTATGTCTTATAAGCTTGAGCTTGTTGAACATACCTTCATTACAAAAGGTCCCCCACTGTCCCCTTCACAGGCATCTCCTCTCTTTGAGTCTTCAGGACTGTAACCTACAGCCAAGAAAAAAGTTGGACATTTGACTGTAGGGGAAGTGGCTGGTGTTGGCCATCTTTTCCTTGAAGTTGCATAAATTTTCTGAGACCCATGAGATAGATTGTTTGCCACTCCTGCCAACTCGGACTTAATAAAAAAACAAAGCAATTTTCTAAATTTATATGTAAAACAGCTAACTCTGCTTCTGTCTTTGCAACATTCCTGAATTCACCCTCTGTGCTCTCATTCCTGTTTTATTAATCAGGATAGCCGTGTCAGTTGCCACTGTTCAACAGCTGTAGCTTGTAGCTGTACTGTGCTTTTCTTGTCTCAGAAACTTATTTGTAATACTCCATGTGTAGTTTTCTATCATTCTGTTTACTACAGAGGTATGTTGCTGTCCTCACTTTCACCTTCCTGTCACTGCAAGCTCTGTTTCTCCTCTCCCCCAGCTGTCTTCCTAAAGTCTCACTGTGAGAGGAAAAGGATTTCACTTTCATTCCTGATGGACTAGACAGTATCTTTGCATTTTCCCATCACTGTCTCCCTTTTTTTCTGTATGTCTGCATCTCAGCTGTTTTTCAAGAATGCTGTCTAGAAAAAGAAACCATAAGAACAGTGTATTTTCAGCACACTCATGAAATTGGCTTCCATCCTAACTCAAGCAATCACATGCGCTTACATGCAAGCAGCACAAACTTATTCAGAGATCACTGGAGGTTTGCTTGTAGGAACTGATAAAGTCTGCACAAATAAAGAATACAGCAGGAACTGTTAAACTCTTACATAAATCCATAGTCTTTTGATATCTTGAATTCTGTGTCTACTTCCCTTCTCACTGAAAAAGGGTATAGAGCCAGAAGAGATTTAGGAAGGTGGGAGCCTATTGCCACAAAATTTGCGGGCATAAGTATGAATGGGCTCCAGAACATTGAGACAAGCTAGTAGACAGGATAATGGGTGTGCAGCCTTTTATTTAGGAAGTCACTGAATTGTTCTATGTACTGATGAAAAGATAATTTTATATATGCTTAGTTCTCCCACTGGATCAGCTGCTGCTGATACCTGGTGCCATTAGACTAGTGCCTGACACAGCTTGGTGTTACAAACTTCATTCATAGCTTTAAGTTCTACAGCCTTTATGTTTTCTGAGAGCTGAGAAAGTTCTTATCACAGGGAAGTTATTCTTTGTGGAAGGCATTTGCAAATCTATCAGAAAGTAACCTTGCTGCATGAGCCCCACCAGGAGCTCAGAGCCCTCATCTTCTCTAGCAAGTTGTACCTCTGTCTCCAGTGCTACTTACCTGCACAAAACATGTTGTCAGTGACTTTAATTTTGGTGGAATCCCTGCAGATACTTTGGTCTACAATGGGCAGATTGAGCTGTTGCAGAACTGTGGGCAGGTTGCTGGGGCTAGTGGCCCATGTTTCTTTCAAGTTTCCCCAGCCGGTTACCCGCCCCTTGTAGCCTGCCAGCATCAGCCTGTGGAAGGATGCATGAATATAATCAAATGTTTTGTAACAGCTTTTTCCTATCTGGCTCTCTTGCTGCAAATAGCCTTGATAAGTCATCTTTTTCTGTCTTTTTTTTTTTTTAAAGACTAGAGATGGCTTTTGTAGCCTGTATTTTTAGGACTGTAGGACAGTCTCCTCACCTCTGCACAACCTCTTTGGTAGGCAGGCAGACAGGATGGATGTAGTCACTGAAGATGATGGGTCTCCTTAAGTGCATGAGTGCAATGTCTCGGTCCATGTTGTCTTTCCAGTTGTACTTAGGATGGATGATGATTTTATCCAACAGAGCAATCTTCTCTTTATTCTTTTCATATCTGAAATAGTTATGAAGAACTTGCTGTACAGTAGCAACTAAGAGTCTTCTGGGGTTCGTGATACTCTCGGGTGCTTTGTAACCTCTGAGACAATGCTGTCTTTACATTGGAGCACCCCTTTAGGCTTCCCATGCTTCTGCCCTCCCTATAATCTTTAGGATCAGCAAGAGCAGCAAATGACAGCCCCATTAGATCCCATTATTGAGAGACATGTAACATTGGTGTGATATTTCCTTGGATACTGAACTGTATCTCATTACTCCAAGAGGAAGACTAGTTCACTCTCACTTCATCCAGACTCTTACTTTGTCCTCATGTGCTTGCCAATCCGCACCAAGATGTCATTTGTAGTTAAGTTCTTGTCCCACGGTGGGTAATAAATACAATGAGCAGCAGTCAGGATCCAGCTGTCACTGATGAGGCTGGCCCCACAGAGCAGCTCCTGAGGAGTCTTTTTGTAGAGCATCACCTGCCTGAGAGATGAGGAGGAGGAAGACTTAGCAGGACTAAAGATATGGCTGGCTGAACAGGTCCCAGTGTCATGTGGAAAGTGCAGAATTTGCAGTGAGCAGGGAAGAGCATTGCATTGTACTGACAAAGAGAACTGCATAAGTGGCTCTGTAGCAAGTCTTCCCTGGACACGTATGTTCTGTGTAGTAGGCCAATTACCCCATTTCTTTCACCTAGAGAGGTTCCTCATCCTTTCTGCTCCAGCAATGCTGGAAAGAGGAAGAGACAAAGATGAAACACACCAGCACTCTTTTTTTCCCAGGTGGTTGAGTACTTAGCTCAAGA